AAAAAAAAAAAAAAAAAAAAAAAAAAAAAAAAAAAAAAAAAAAAAAAAAAAAAGGGTTACTTGTGAAAACAAACTGATTTAGTACTGAATGAGTCATTAGAGCTATGGTGGTAATACACGATGAATTAAATATTGAAGGTTGTTTATTCAAACGTGAAGTTAGTAACTTGAGTAAACCATATAAAATCTACTATTGCATAAAAAGCTTGGGTAAGATAGTAAATTAAGTACGTACTTTGCACTGAACTACATTGTATTTTAATTAGATATTATATTACCACCAGCCGAGATATTGATCAAACGTCTGCCCATCAAATATGAAAAAAAAAATATTGGAAAATTTTATGAGATTTGCTACTACATACTGGCATACTCTACATGAGAGGATTTGCAATAATCTTCATGCTTGGGTTGCAGAATGCAATTTTAAAGTTTCAGGTTCATCAGAAAGCGCTGCTGAACTGTCTATGCCGCGCTTTTAAGACCCCTGTCGAAAAAGCAGGAGTGGTGACTGATGAACATGTATTTTATCTACTCTGTCATCACTATACACACCATAGTCTTATGATGATTCCTTCGAAAATTAAATCAAAATTTTCTATACATCTTGACCTTGGAACTTATTTCATATCGCACAAATCGATATCATTCTTTGTTAGAGAAAACCAATAGGTTTCTATCAATGAATGGGAAGTGGTGAGCTATTTGGAGCAAGGCTTCGCATATCAATACTCCATTAACTCCTGAATGGTAAGTTAATTCGTTTAGATATTTACTGTAAAGCTCATTTTATACGTCATTCGTGCGATTTGAATTAAATTGTTTTGTAAAACATAAATTGGTTTGACATTTTAGTGTTAAAACCAGAAAAATAATGCGTGTTTTAATAAAAAGGTTGAAAAGAACTTCAATCTCACTAACAACGAGGGTTGCACCTTCAAAGCTAGTTTTCATGTCAATTACCAAATCATAAATCAAGTCAAAGGTGATTGGAACTACACTAGACATCGATAAATTATTCACATAAAACAATACGTCAAAGTGTAAAACTGTGGGGTATCGATAATAGAGGGGTTCCTAGATTACACGTTTCAAGTGTAAAGCACTTTCTAGGGATGTGACCACATTGCGTGTTTCGCCGTAGCTATATAGCCCACAGTGATTCATTAGTTCGGGAGCGAAGGAAACTTGCGTACAGCCTAGTCTGTTACTCATGCTTTTAAGTTTTCGTTGTAAGTGGAAAACAGAAAATTGCGTAGTTTCAGTTAGATGTTAGTCATTTTATGGAGATTTTAGTGAGTAAATTTTAAGTGGTACGATTGAAGTAGTTTTTTATTGAGCCTATTTTCTACTAGTAAATTACTTCATACATACTATACCTACTTCTCTAAACGAGTAGGCTAGGCATATAGACGCACTTCAACAATGAACTATCATGAATAACTTCCGAAACACTACATTTCCTAAAGCAAACTATTCATTTTTATTAGTTTCAAGTAATTTTTGCAACAAGTCAGAAACCGATGACAAGTCTAGTCTTGTGAATAAGTAAATTGAAAATTCCAAAAATCCTTTACACAAAATTGAACACGTCATTTTAATTTCGTAATCTTTTGCCATTTTAATGATGTCATTAATACAAGTGTTAAATGAATGCGCATGAGGTCATTTTCTTTAACGAAAAGGTTACTTTGTATAAAATCAAAGTTTCTATGTAAATTGTGAAAAGGCATGTATATTGAATCAAAAGGCTTTAGGCCTGGCCTGTCTGGTTAGTGTTAGACCATGTACACGTCAATTATTATCTGTTGTGTATTGACGTTTTTCTACAACTTGGGGTCGTGGAGAGGTTAACATTTTACTTGCCTATCGTATTTTATTTATTATATGTTTATGTAACGAGTGTTTGTTATGTTTCTGATAAAACTGAAAAACGGGTCCCGTACCTTGTCGAGTTCCGCATGTCAATATGTCATTAGTTTGTTTACACATGATTTTCTTTCTGCAATCTGCCCATTGGTTAACATGATGATGTTCATGATGATAGGTTTTGGCCGTTTGGCCTCCTTATGTCAATCCAATTAGATTATAATCGACCATATTAGATTTTGATGATTTTAAATGGCTGCACATTAGAACGATCAGTTTGTCTTTTGTAGTTTGTTAAATGAAAAAGTTACGTCCATACATCTATATAGTACCTACCTATAATTCAATTACTATCACTCTATTGTCTGAACTGGAATGAGTAGTACCTAATAGTATAATGAGACCGCTTATTATTTAATAATCCATTTACGCCAACTGTTATACTTTGACGTCAGCTGTCTAGCTAAGTCCTGAGTAAGTGTATGGACTTATTCAAGTTATGAGTACCACAACAGATGGCTAAAGTCAGTGGACTTGGTACTCAAGGACTATGTGTGGTTACCTGGCAATGTAAGGGTCAAGATCGCTAGTGATATGACCTTGAACGTGCCAGTACGACGTGCAATATTTTTAATTTAACTTTTGCGTTGAATTTTTCCACCACAATGTCACGTCAAGCTTTTCAACAAGTTTTGGATCTTATTTTACAAACGATACAGTTCAGATTTTACTAAAGAGATACTAGGTACTATACCTACTATGCGTTTTGAATATGAAGCTCCATTTAATTTAAGAGGTAATTAAGAAATATGGCAGTCTAGTATTTTTTTTATATCTACAAATGCTTTCAAAATTTTTAACTAGTCCTGAAATTGTGATTTTAATCTGTATTTAGATACGAAGTGGTCTTACCTGCCGTTCCTGGATCGGCTTCGTAAACTGTCGTCATCACGACCCCAACCCTTGGTGAGGTTTGGCAGTCCAAGAACACTGCGGCCTTTCGCCATTCCACCGCCTGGTTGTTCAGTGCTACGAGCCTTCCGCGTTTTTGGCTCTTTGGCTAATAGGGGAAAGGTTACGTTTTAGTGGCTGGGCACTTTAGATACTATGAGAACTTTGTATACTGCAAGACTTACTCAGTAATTATATGGTCTTTAGAATAATTTCAATTGTTTTCGGAATAAATCTTAAAGAAAAAGTTTAGCTAATTTGAGTACCTACCTACAGCAAAGCTACTCATCTATGTTAGTTGAAATATACGTACTTAGATAGATATATAAAAATCCCTTGAGTTTCTATAAAAAAAGAGCGTCATCAATATTACCTACTCGTTTTTCTACGTAATACGTGACATTTTAGAGCGTTAAGATATCAGTCTTCAAAATTTTAATGAGAATTACAATTTTATGTTATTTTGTAGGTGGTACTTATTGAAAGCGATTGTATTAATGGAACTTTAAGGTTGTGGGCGTTTTGAATGTCTTGTTCCACCACAAATTATATGAATTTCTAAAATCCTACGAACTAGATAGGTATTTAACTATTTAAATTCAAGAAAGTGCTTATTAAATCAAACTGTCCTTAAAACACAAGACAGACTTATTTAAAAATTAATATCAACTGTCTAAAACTCACATTTGGTAGTACCGGCGAGTGTTTCAGCAGACCTGGATATATTTCGGGATAAAGATGTTGGAGGAGCTCTCATGGGAGTCGCCTGTCTTTGTTGATAGCCCATCTCTGATCTCACAGGATGAAACAGTTGAAGATTCTTCAGCGCCATAACTTATATCGAACATTTTCACTTCTAATCAACATTTGAAATGTTTCACTCGCCAACTCCCCGACAAAACTAACTATAGTCAATTTGTAACCAATTTTCAAATTACAATACGCGAATAAATGGCGCGAACAAGAGCTTGTTTCTGATAACATTATCACATGATGCGGGTACGAATAAACTTTCTAGAAAGTCCTCAAAATAACACAGGTTTTTGTCAAACAACAATCACGTAAATTCAGAGACGGCTAATTATCGTCATAAATAAATTGTAACATAATCTATTGAGCCTATGTCATAATAATCGATGTCTTTATCAATGCCATGTGAACAAAAATGTGTTAAACTCGATATGGAAGAATATAAAACGAAATTAACACTCCACTAACAATTAAACCAATCCAATTTAATGTTCAAAGATTATTAAAATTTGTTTTATTAATGGCGCGAACGGAATGATGGGAAATATTTTTCTGTGGTCAATATGGCGGACGCAACTGTCACCCACGCGCGCGAGGCACAGACTGAAGTGTTTTCAGCCAGGGTGGTTTAAACGATTTAGAGGGCTTTGAGGGTTTGTTATTGATACCTAATTTTTAGCGGTAATTTTTACGGTTTATTTTTATTTTCAAAGATTTTTTAACTAAATGTTTTTTTTTATTTCAAACCCCCAGAAACCAGGAGAAACAGACATGACATTTTTTGTTATTCAGTATACATAGGTATAGAAGTTGCCTACTTTTAAATGAAATTACATGAATTTTGCTGATGTGTGATAATTTTGTACTTTTCGGAACTTCCTTGATAAAGTTATTTATATTTTTTTACAAAATTGCTAGAATTTTAATTTAGTTTTATCATTGACTAGCTGTTACCCGCGACTTCGTCCGCGTAGATTAATGACTTCTGACAGAATTCATCAGAATCAATTCAGTGCCCAATTAAGATTTACCTATTGTGAAATGATATATCGTAATTTCAATAAATTAAAAATCCCGCAGGGATCTTACCAGTCCCGGCCCGATCACGAAAGTTTTGAGTAATAAAATCTTCGACTATTGTTGTACAGAATCTCTATGAAATAAGTTCAGTGGTTAAAAGATAGAGAGTCCTGGAGCATTGACGCATAGTTCCCGTTCCCGAGGGACTTCTGTGATAAAAACTATCATACGTTACTCAGGTCCCAAATCATCGTTTTACCGAATGTAATTCAAAAAGATTCAATGATTCTAGATTCAATTTTCATTCCCAATTTCACACCAACTATCATTCCCTATTTTATCCCCTTAGGGGTGGAATTTATCAAAATCCTTTCTAAGGAGATACCTATGTCATAGTAACTTTATGCATGCAAAGTCTCAGCCCGATCGGTTTAAAACTGGCAAAGTATCACACAAACTTTCACCCTCTATATTACCCACTTTGGGGTGGAAATGTTCAAAAACCTTTCTAAAGGGACGTGTACGTCATAATATCTACCTGCACGCCGAATTTCAACCCGATCTGTGTAAAACTGACAAAGCCTCATACAAACTTTCATCCCCTACATTATCCCATTGGAGTTGGAAATGATCAAAATCCTTACTTGGAGATGCCTACGTCATAACATCTACTTTCATGCCGAATTTCATCCCTATCGGTGTAAAACTGACAAAGTTTCATACAAACTTTCACCCCTATTTTACCCCCTTGGGGAGTGGAAATGATCAAAATCCTTTCTTAGAGGATGTTTACGTCAAAATATCTATCGGCACGCCGAATTTCAACCAGATCGTTTTATAATTGACAAAGTTCCATACGAACTTTCACCCCCTATTTTACCCTCTTAGGAGTGAAAATGATCAAAATTCTTTCTTAGAAGATGCTTACGTTATAACATCTATCTGCATGCCAAATTTCAACCTGATCGGTTTAAAACTGACAAAGTCTCATACAAACTTTCATCCCCTATTTTACCCCCTTGGGGGTGGAAATTATCAAAATCCTTTCTTAGCGGATGCCTACGTCATAACATCTATCTGTATGCCAAATTTTAGCCCAATCTGTCCAGCGGTTTGGGCTGTGCGTTGATAGATCACTATGTCAGTCAGTCAGTCAGTCAGTCAGTCAGTCAATCACCTTTGAATTATATATATATAGATGTGAATGGTAGCTATCTAAAAGTCCACGCGATACAAACATCAAGTCGTAAGTGTCTTTTTTCAATACTGTTTGTTTTGTCGTCCCATTAGCGCATGGAACAGTGACAGTATGATATCATATTTTCATTTATTGCCTTTTATTGTTTTGATCGATATGAAATTTCTTGAACGTTTTACTACTTAATTGTGTATGATTACTACGTATCATCTTATAGCTATTTTTTTCTACTATATAGAGCATTCGAGATTTTGTTAAGAGATGCAGGTGGCGAGTTGTCGTTTGACGTGGAGGACTAAGGGCGAGGCCTTTATCCAACACTCGATGTTTTCCAGCTGTTGATGATGATGATGAAAGAGCACCCATAAGAAATTATGTTCGATTATGTTAATGAAGTATGAAGCCTGCAAGCTGTGCATTTTGCGTCCATCATTTCATTGGCGACTAGAGGTGATACCTAGTTTAAAAAAGTTTCCACGTTTGATCGGTTACGTATGGTTGCCATTTTGAGGTTTCAGAGAAAATTTGACATTGGTATCCCAGAAACCTTTCCTTAATTTCCTAGGACGTATTGCGTGATCCTGACCGAAGATGAATAAATCATAGGCAGGTTTTGTACGTCATGTATTATTTATATCATGTGAAAAAGAGAGATTTTGTTAATATGTATATATAGATTTCTAAATATAATAATTAGGATATGAATTATTTGGTGTGAAGGTCAGCGTCCTCGTATATTTGTAAATATGTGTGGTGTCTAATAGTTTTGTCCAACAAACGTAATAACTATAATTACAAAGTACTAATTTGATACAATATTAAATATGTACTAGACAACTACTAGATATTAAATATGTAGGTACAATATTAAACAGACACTTGGTTCATTCATAAAATAAGTTTAATTACTTTAAGTTCTTATACAAACGTTACTTAGATTTTATTGACTTTTTTCTCTAAAGATTTTTAATATCAGTAGTTATTGTTTTGTTATTCTGTTTCCCCTTTACAATAGGCCTACCAAAAACCAGGACTTATTTTAGACTGTTTTTTTTCTGGATAGCTGGAGCACCAGAGGCGTTACAAGTGCGTTACCGGCCTTTTGGGGATTAGGATTGTTGAGGGGGCCTTCGATAACCCCACTCACACGACGAAACACAACAAGTGTTGTCATTAGAACAATATTTCGAAATCCACATCAAAACATCATGTCTCGTGCATTTAGTAATACAAGATTTTGTGATCAACAGCTATTCTTAGTCACTAGGAATAGACAGACGTAAAATTGTTTAACACCTTATGGGCCACGCTAGCGGAGGATTTACCTTCAACAGTTTTCTGTCGGCAGTCAAAGCCTTAAGACTCGTAGGTGTATGACACCCTCAGCAACACCATATCTAGAAAAATCTCCAAATTGTTAGCGTTTTACTAAGCAATGACCGTACCAAGGACTTTCCATTGTTAACTCTAACAGACAATTCTGAATGCTTTTATATACTATGTATGTACTTTCGTAGCTATGTAGCCATATTGATAGACCTATAGACACTTTGTCTATTAATCATAAACGTAGTTGCGTTGAATCACGGCGAAAATTATAATAAATTGTTCCTATGATTAATTGAATTTGGCTAAAGAAGGAAATAAATAAAAAAGGTATCATAGAAGTACACATAACATAACATAACCTCACGCCTTTTATCCCCGAAGGGGTAGGCAGAGCAGTGCCTACCAACGGCACAATGCCACTGTCCAATGTAACACCCAGTTTTCACTATTTATGTGATGAGTCCCATGTAATGGGGGTGAGCCTATTGCCATATACCGGGCACATTTCCAGACTCCGTGCTACAACTGAGATTTTTTTTAAAAAACCCAGTAATACTTTGCCTAACCCTGGAATCGAACCCGAGATAACTTGCCCAGCAATCGCACTTGCGACCACTCGGCCAATGAGGCAGTCATTGTAATTTTTAATCTAATTCTGTATGTCTTAGACGTATGTACATATCACAATTAGAACCTTCAAACAGAAAGGTTCTTTTTTCTTTTTAAGAAGCGAGTTTTAACTCATTTTGTGTTACAGGTGACGAGATACTTGATCACAGAAAGACTTGTTTGCGTTTATCCCATTTCTCTTAAAAATATCATGGTTTGTGAAGAAGTGTTTTTTCATGGAATAAATCGGTAAACGAGCAGACAGATCACCTAATGGTATGCAATCAGCGTAGCCTAATGACACCCGAAAAATCAGAGGTGTTACAAGTGCGTTACCGACCTTTTAGGGATTAGGAATTTGAGGATTCGGGGAATGGGGAGAGGGGTAATTGGGCCACACGACGAAACACAACGCAAGTGTTGTTTCACGTCGGTTTTCTGTGAGGCCGTGGTATCACTGCAGTCGAACCGCCTTATTCGTGCCGATGCATGGCTCTACTTAAAGCACTTAAAGTGATAACTGCAGTTATTTTGAATTTTCTGTATAAAATAGGGGACACCTTAACGTCCGCTTATCATCATCAACAAAGTGGCTACTGGTGAGCTATGGCCCCTACTCTAACGTAGAAGGTTTAAGCATTAACCACACTTCTTTAAGGTGGGTTGCCCACAGTGCGCACACCGACATAATATGTATCTGCCTTTCCTTCAAATATCAACAAATGGCATCGAGCATTCCATATTCAAATTTGTTGTGATAAAAAATGTAAATAAATATCTCAAACTGCATCCTCTTTATTTCAAATGCAAATACGTTATCTACAAAAAATACCTAAAATCGATCATACAAATGTACAGAAGGTGTTATTATTGTTTACGTTTATTTTCCATTAATTATTCACCAGCCACGTACCGAATAGGAAGGGTGGCAGGTTGTTGACACCACTGCCCTTTGTCCATCACTGATTTTTGTAAAATGTTGACCTCTCGCGTTTAGTTGTCATGTTAACATGGCTCCTGGTAATTCTGGCTGGTACGTCCTTTATGGTATAGTTACTTTAATTGTGTTTTTTTAGGGAGCGGGAAATTTCAAATATCGAAAAAAGAGCCTTTATTTTTTTATTAATTTCGGCTATTCAGTCTGAGGACGGTTGGAATAATGTTCGGATTAATTTTGGATTAACGGGATGTTACTCTATCGATAAATATTGTAGCTAAATAAAATAAGTCTCTATTTTATTGATAGATAATATTTCACAATTTTTGTACAGAATAAGGAGCAAACGGCGTTCCAATCATCTTATGGTAAATTACAAGGTTACAAGTGCGTTGCTGGACTAGCCCTTGTCTAACAAGCCACTTGGCATGTCTCATTCATCCATTTGCCAATCGCCATCTAATTTGACAAATGAACTTCAAAATCAATCTACTTACGCACCTAACTCTCACTTCTTCACTTTTCCGTAGCAGCAATTCAACGTCACTATTCCGATTAAATAATATCGATTAACCGTCAATCAATTCGGTTGATAATAGCCTTCGGTTTGATTCGTCAAAACAAATTGCTGACATCTGGGTCACACACGAGTAGTGTGGAAGGGCTTTTGAAGTCAAAGCATGGCCCAAAAGGCCGGGGTTTTTAGTTCACCACGTTAAAATAGGTCGGAAAGTGTCTGCCACCAAAAAGGTTAGTTATTTGAATTAAAAATGTTAATAGAACATCATAGAGTTTTCATCAGCCAATGAGAATTGAAAAAATTAGTCAAACTCCCAGTTAAGAAACTCTTCTTGTTAAGATCGAAAATCGAAAATCGCAGGTTCGATTAACTGCGTAAAGACGGTGCAGCTGATGTAACAATAGAATTGATTAATAATTAAACTGTCAAACACCAAGCGGTCACCGGTGACCGCAACCTATTATTCTATAATTGTGTCTATAATGATGGTACTCGACGAGTTAAGAAGATATTTTTACTTTCGTACTTATTTAAGGTCCCAATTCCACCTTGACCCCATATATGGAATTAGTTTGTAAAAATCCAAAATTGCTGATATCAAATCTAGTAAAGTTGCACAATCTTAGGAAATAAATATGTATACCTACCTACTATTTACATACTGCAAAAAATGTGACCATTGACATAAAAAAATATGAATCACACACAAAACACATAGTTTACAATGTCATCGGCCAGAGAGCGCTGGCCGTCACGCGCATGCGTACAACAGCCGCTTTGGGCGGGAACCACATCTGTCATCCGATCAAAAACCGCGAATTAAATTGCAAGGCCTCATTTTGTTTATTACGCCATAATCATAATAAATTGTAGATGTACGGTATATAATTCTTCTTCAAATTACGACAAAAAGGGTAATAAATTGGCAATAAGTATGTCATTTCAAGTAGCAGGACAATTGCTATTTCATTGAGCTTGGTTAGCTGCATGTGACTTTACGATGTGTGTTGTGAACTTTCTACGGAAAATGACTTTTTCCATAGTAAGTACTAGTCTAGTCTGTGAGCCCTAATTTAGATTGTTTTGATTTAGTTATCTACTGAAAAAGAGGCGTTGCTGACCAAACATTATTAAATAGGTACTTAACTATATTGAAATAATATTTTATTGATATAGGGCTGCCAACAAGCAGGCTGATCACCTCATCACCATCATCAGAAAAGTTAAAAGATGGGGGGATTGGGTCTCCGGTGATCTCACTTAAACACACACAACAAACACAATGCAACAACGCTTGCATTTACTACGGTTTTGCTGTGAGGCCGTGGTATTTCCCCAGTCGAGCCGGCCCATTGGTGAATATATTAAAATATATGTGAAATAATTTAATGTGATTTGATAGCCCGCGTAGTGTAGTAGCACGGTTCGTTGGCTGGCAGTGCACAATGACGTGTCAGTCGCGGTTCGGTGCCCGACGCTTTTTGATTTACTTGTTTTAATTAGTTTGTTTCCATTTGTATCTACAATATTATTTTTCTATTAGTTTTAACTTTTTCACAAACATATTTGGTGTTAATATAACTGTGCTATACTGTGTTTATGCTGCGGAGAAGCTAACGGGGTACCGGGGTTCCGGCTCGACGTGCAGGAGAAGGAACGGGGTGGTTTTTAGTCAGTCAGTCAGTCTGACACTCCCTCCCGCCTCACCCAGGCGGGAGCAATAATTCGATGACTTTCCCCCCTAATAAAATACTGTGTTTATAAACGTATAAATTACAAGTTGACTACAACAAGGTAACTTTTAAAGCAACCGTCAACGGAAGGAAGAACTGCAGTCCATGAATCTTTAGTTGTGGGCCTATGTTTAGAAGATGGCGTCTATGACTCTATTTTTCAGACTTTGTAAACAAATGTTTTCTGAAAGGTAAATATTACGAACTCTTTTTCGAACTAGAAAATGATTGATGAATCTTCTTGAAAGTGCAATGGAAACAATCACCAATAGTTTTAAACAATAGCACTTCCCCTTCCTGCTTCAGAAGTTGCGCAGATTACAGTGAGTCGACTGCTATTATTTAATTTTGGACACATCCTACTTGAAGATAATCATGTAGACCATATCTTCTCTACCGTAAACCTAAGTAGCTGTAAAGTATTTGTCATGAAAAGTGAATGACATCTGACCACGTTGTGCATAGTTAAGCATAAAATGTCACAGGATTGGATTTGTAAATTAAATTACGGGCGTGGGTCGTTCTTGGAGATATTTGCTTTCAAAATTATAGAGCCAGTCAATGACTCCTTGTTAGATTTTTTGGGGAGTTTACGGTACTTCACGTAGCTTACTAATCGAAAACTGCTTTTAACCCGTGATATGGAACGCCGGAACGTAGATCTACGGCTATACTGACATTCAAGTTAAAAGTACTTACTGGATTGATGCACTGAAATTTTGATTACCATAATTCATTTGATATGACATCGCACCGAGATGATTACGACAAGTCCAGAGATTTTCCCGCTAACCCATAATTTAAAAAAAAAGTTGAATATTTCCTCTGCGAAAAATCTGAGATAATACTGCAAAACTGCAACGAACGACTACGAATATACCTCAAAACCTCTATCTATCTATATATATAAAAATGAATCCCTTTTTCCCTTGGTCACGGCTTCACGCGTGAATGGCTGGGCCGATTTCACTAATTATTTTTTTGTTGTATTTGTTACTGTCAAGATATCGTTCTTAAGACAGAAAAAATCCTGAAAATCCTACAGGAACGAGAGAAAATGGTACGTACGAAGTCGCGGGCAGAAGCTAGTTAAACATAAAATAGGTAGTCGTGTGTCTATGGCTCATAACTAGTGTTATAATGAAAGGAAGTGTAAAAATATTTTGCCTGTACTCGATGATGGCGGCTGTAAAATACACACTATACTATCAGGCGCCATGTATTCAGGCTGTGTGTGATATTGTTCTGAATCATGTAACGATGCTATCTCGTACATCTGGCCTTTGGATGCAGTCTCATGCAGACCTTCACTATACAGTCGAATATTAGAGGACTAAAATAAAATTGAATTGTTGACATAAACGGCCTAGTTGTAGGGGTATACGATACGATTTGAATATAGAATTGCAGTTGTCGCAAATCGGTCTAAAATGTTACTAAATGACAAAATCATAATCGTCATTTTTAGATAATCATCATAAACATCAAATACATTGGTAGATTCTAGATTTAATTAATACTGATGTCGCAACAAATACCATTATTTATATTTAAAATAGGTACATATACCTAGATACAATTTTTTTTTTTTTTTAAGGGGGGAAAATCATCGAATGACTGCCCCCGCCTGGGTGAGGCGGGAGGGAGTGTCAGACTCTTACTGACTAAAAACCACCCCGTTCCTTCTCCTGCACGTCGAGCCGGAGCCCCGGTTACCCGTTAGGTTCTCCGCGACACATATAGATACAATAAACAGGTAATATGTTCAACGAAATATTGTTACTTGACTGCACGTTTGGTGCGGTGGCTGGGCAACCGGTCGCGGGTTCGATTCCCGCACGGAACAACACTTTGTGTAATCCACAAATTAGTTGTTTCGGGTCTGGATGTCATTGTGTATGTGAACTTGTATATGTTTCTAAACGCAACCACGACACAGGAGAAAATCCTAGTGTGGGGCAACGTTATTTAAAAAAAAACAAAACAAAACAATTAGCAATGTACCTAATTTTGCAAATACAGCTAAGTTTTTTAACACATTTTTTTTGCATTCAAGTCAAAGACATCGTGGTAATTCTGTTATTGGGACTGTCTGAGAAAAAATAATTGCAGGATTAAACTAAGATAAGTTTTTGATTAACCAAAAATCTCGTCAGAAAATAAGTTTAATAAAATATTTTTTTTTTATTGTTGTGGAGAGAGAAAATAATGGTCGCGTTTCATGTTATTTTTTAAATTTATAACTCTAAAAGTATAACATAAAAAAACGAGAAAGCTCCGATCTTTGACCCTATATTTTGGAAAAGCGAAGTCAAAAAACTCTCAATCAATGGGTTCAGGGTACATAGTATGTAGATAAGTACAGAGAGGACAGTAGCCTTCACAATACGACCCAGTAGACCCTAGGCGGATGGGCAAACAAAAAACCAACGATCGCCATAATTATTATAAGCGCGGGACGCATGCGCTGTAGCCAGTCCGCCATAACCCGCCCGCGCATCCACCTGTGCATAGACACGAAATTATTTAAATCCTTTTTAGTTGAAAACTTTTTAAATATGTAACAGTTTTAAAAAGATTTTCTAGTTTTTTTTTTATCATAAAGTTTTTGTGATTTTTTTTACGGAAATAATGAACAATAAATATTTATAGTTCAGTTTTTGAACAAAATGGAACGAATCGCAATTTTGGTGAGTACAGAAATGAGATTAAATATATTTCTTACATACTTTAAAAATAAGATAAAAGTCATCCTTATGTCTAATGAGCTTTTTACTGCATTCTGCACTCGATTAAGTTTTGTTTTTACATCGTCTGGATTGAAACTAAACCTGTTTGCCCATTTATAAATAACCCAATTCCCGCTGTTTTAAGGAACTTGCTTATAAATGACATGGTCGAATTAACTTATATACGGAATTAAATTACATATATGTATAATAAACGGCTGGGCTTCAAGTTATTGTTCTTTATATATATTTATTTTGTGAACATATATCTAAGTCAGTACTGTACACATTTAATTTAATTTTATATCATGTAACTGATGCTGAAACAGTTTCATGAACTAATAGACCTATAAGGTACTTAGATAACGTAGTAAGTATTTAATTTCTTACTTAGAATAAATTTAAGTAATTTTTTAAGCTTATAAATTGAATAATATTGCACAAGTAGGCATAGACAATAGAGTATAGATATAGGTAATCCGTTATGGCATATAATGGTAGAGATGATACAAAACACTCGTAAAATTGACTGCGTGTAATAAATATTCTAACTGTAAGTACTGTTATTGTATTATTCATATTATTATCTCGATACTTTAATATATGACCGAGAGACCTTTCTACATAGGTACTATTCCCTAAAGAGGTAGCGATAGGTAGGTATAGATAAGAACTAGATCCATGTTTTACTAAATATTCAAAAGAGGAATTCAATTAAAAAACAATCTCACGGACATGAAATGAGACAGAGAGAAGTGATATGAGAGAGCTGTATATCTCTTAATAATAGTGACGTTTGATGCGGAAGAATGGAAGCAGAACATCTTTTGTGGTAGAAAATAGACAAATACCTACTACCTAAAAAGAAAAACTCAGACGGCCCGTAAACTTTTTTTAGAAGTATAAAATCTGTTGACATTTTAAACCAATTAATATTATCAGAGCAATAATACCTATACTTAACTATATTAAGAGTAAATGAGATTTGCACTTTGCACATACGAATGCCTGAAATGGTCTGTTATTTAAAATAAATATGTTACTTGAAGCAAATAAGTTCAGCCCCCCATCGAAAAGGTCAAATAATTGGTATTCATGGTGGGTCATCTAAACAACCCACTTTGAACAGAATAGATCACTATATCATTTGCATTATCAAAGCTTTCATGAAAGGACTTGATAGTCCAAATTAGGACGATGTCAATGACGTAAAGTTCAGAAATCTAGGATCAGTTAGGTACTGAAATTGTCGTCAAAAGTTGGAAAAAAACCAATACTAATAATTACCATTCGTCCTCACTTTTTCCAACGTAAATAAATTGTGTCGTCGACTTTGCACCGCTGAAGTGATTTAAAGAATTGGTTAAAACTGTTATTACATTTTTTGGCTTCTAATTAAAATGTCCATTAAAGGGTATGATATAAGTAACGAAAACCACGTGCAGATATTTAAGCACACAATCAATACTCAAAAATGTACGATACATACAATCTCCGTTAAAAAATATTTTGTAAGCATAGTTTACATGCGTAAAGTTGTATCATAATTCGTGGTCGCACAGAGGTAATCTTTTGTCTCCATTACCCCACGGCCACACAATTATATACCGATTATACCGATTAAACACTCGGATGTGCGCCCACTAAACAATACAAGTTAGCTCTCTGTCTAATTTGTATTTTGTTTGTATTATATCATTTATTATAAGTCCTACTTCTCACGGCTTAACACAGGTTTGTAGTCAAATGACGTATTGTCACTGGTGTCGGTATATGGTTCGGTGTAAATATGTTTTAAGAGTACCTAGGTGCACCTATTATACAACATTAGGTTTTAAATACTGGAAGAACACAAAGCAGCAACTAAGTTTAGCTGTCGAATTGTGCTGTGTTGGACTGTTGAAATAATGAGTAATAAATACAGGATAATCCATGTTTTATTTCTGTATCAGTTATAATATCCTAGCATTATCATAATATACTAATCCGCACACTATACATACTTAACTAATTAATAAGATTTTAGACAGAAAACATGTTATGAGCTTATTATTATTAGACTTACTTCCTCATTGATCGAGTTTGAGAGGCCTTACGAGGAAAATATTGTTGAATTTTCTTAAAAATCTTCATAATAACACTCATTTATTTAGGCAATCGCATCTATTCGTGTTGTAAACAAGTAAAATTTTCTTTATTATATGAATCAAAGAATGACTACCACATTTTTTGAATGGTTACCGGTAGACTGCCAAACATTTATAAACGTATTTTTTGTAAATATGGATTTGTAGTTTGGTCGTAGTTGTTTTCAGAGAAATATAATAGACAAGACAAATGTCCTTCTATTAATTGTTCACGAAATATTTGCTTGTTATTTACATATAGGATTTAAGTACCCCAATAGGGTTATTGTCGATACTGAGCCGCGGAGAACCTAACGGGTAACCAGGGCTCCAGTTCGAAGTGCAGGAGTCGCAACGGGGTGGTTTTTAGTCAGTAAGAGTCTGACACTCCCTACCGCCCTGACCCGGGCGGGAGTAGCCATTGGATGATTTCCCCCCTCAAAAAAAAGTTTTCCTATATCTGCCTAACAAAAACTTGTTACGTGTAATAGGCCTAACTCAAACTATGTTTTCAGCCATTGAATACTTAAATGATGACATATTTTATTCTTAACCACTATTTAGGTATAAATATCAAAATATACACACATACCACATTGCAACATAATATAACGAACTCAGTGGTCATCTTCCTGTACTAAATTATACAGAAACAATACGAAATTAGGTTGTGTCCTTCACTTCTATACATTTTCTCTTTGTGTGTGATCATACCATTGTTTTTAGAGGTCATAGGCTGTTTCAGGGCAATTTTATGGTGTTTTTTTGCATATTTTGAAGTACATGTAATGTTTATACTGGGTAATTTGTTTGTAATTAGTTAAGTATACGTTTGCTCTCAGGCATTGTGTGTAAAAACCTTTTAGCCTGAAGAGAATAAGGTGAATTTTCGTACGTTTACTTTTTAACAGTCTGGAAGGTATGTCATGAGTTCTTTAGTTCAGGAGGCTAATTGTAAGTCGGTACTTAAATTAGGTCGAGGTATAGGTGAACTAGGTACTATTAAACAAATTTTACGTTTACCTAATATAAAATTAGGTATAGACTTTTCTACAGAGATTATTCAATTGCATTTTACGTATCCTGTTTATGAAAGTGGTGTTTGCATTTGATTGTAAAAGAACATTACCTCTTTCTTTAATTATTATTTTTAACTAATCTTACCTAGCATAGAAACACAAACACACACATACTTACGTATACATATGTAAGTAGTAACATATAGTATATGTGTAAGTAGGTAGTAATATTCATTTAAAC